AAGCAGCAGGATAGCAGCAGTTAAACGTGTTTTGCTTCTTTATAATAAACAAAGTAAACCATAGTACCAGCAAGGGAAGGAGGCAATCCTGCTGAAGCTGCTACAGCTGCGTCTGCTGCGGCTGCTGCTGCGGCGGCGGGTTGCTACTGTTGCTGTTGCTGCTGCAGTTTGTTCTACAGCTGTTACTAAAAGCGACACAAAAGGAGGAGAAGTCCATACAGAGAAAGCAGAGGATGCCTTGTGGGGTTGGCTGCCGGGGGACGCTGTTACGGGATTTACGGTCTATGGTTTAGGGTCTAGCATATAGGGTTTAGGGTTAGGCGCAGCTCCTTCAGAAAGGGAGCGGCTGCCGCTAATAAATAAGCACATTGATTGTTTGTATTTATTGCAATTACGGATTATTCCGTTAAACAATGTATTATGTTTCAGTTTCCCGCTGCAGCAGCAGCAGCAGCCTTGGGGCTGCCGGTGCTACAGCAGCAGCAGCAGCAGCAGCAGCAGCTGGTGCTGCTGCTGCTCTGGGCGCTCCACCCCCGGTGTGCGGNCAGCAGCAGCAGCAGCAGCAGCAGCAGCTGGTGCTGCTGCTGCTCTGGGCGCTCCACCCCCGGTGTGCGGGTGCGCGTGTTGCGAGGGCCGTCGTCGTTGTCTGGTTGCTCTCACCTCAGAACAAAACGAATCGCCAAGAGATGTGTTTAATGCATTGACTGCATTTAAATACATAAAAATTTATTTATTTATTGTTGCCTTGAGCCCTTTATCCTCTTGGCACTGGGTTGTGCTGGTGCCTTTAATCACCGCTGCTGTCGTTTTCTGTTCTGGCACGCGCCCAGTTGCTTTCGTGTTTATTTTTTTACATTTTCCCTCCTTTTTGTCTTTCGCTATCGGTGAAACTTCCTAATTATTTATTAGGAGGTGTGGGGCCGGAGTTTTTTCCCTGTCTTTTTTTCTCTAGTGAACAAAGCCGAGCACAAAAGGTGGCTCTTGCTGCAGCATCTGTCTCGTACTGCAGTGTCGGCGGCGTCTCCCTTCCGTCTCTTGTTCTTTAACAATTATTTAGTTGCCTCTTACTTTTTTGTTCCCTTCTTCTCAGCTCCCACAGAAAATGGAAGGCTCCACGACCGCTGGTGGCGCTGCCGCTGCAACTGCTGCGGCCAGCAAGGGCGGTGGTGTATGCGAGGTACAGGTTGAGGCGGCTGGCGTTCCTGATTGCATGAAACGTTCACTGGGCTTTTCTCTTGGCCGTGTCATTCCGTCTTATCCGATTCGCGTATTGATTCACATTTTAAGTTTGTTGGCTGTACTGCTTTTGGCAGCGAACGCCCTCACCGGCACAGCAACAATCCGTGGTTCTTTTTGTAACAACACGGACATAGCCCTGCCTAAGAGGCGTGGCTCNCCGGCACAGCAACAATCCGTGGTTCTTTTTGTAACAACACGGACATAGCCCTGCCTAAGAGGCGTGGCTCAATCAGCTTGGGAAATTTGTTTATAATGTCTTTTTTGTTGCCTTCCATTATGATTATCCTGGTTGAGGTGCTGATAGCATTGGTGCGGGCAACAGAAGACAAAGAAGTTCAGGGCGGCAGCGACGTTACTTTCTTCGGCTGGAGAGTACCTACATGGATTGTTGATCTATACAAACATCTTGGGGGCTTTGGATTTGCAATGGGCATAGCATGGCTCTTAGCAGATTCGCTGAAGTGCTATGTTGGCTCCCTGCGGCCTCACTTCCTCGATGCATGTCAGCCTAACTGGGACCAGGTGAAATGCAAGGGAGACCATAATGAGTATATCTACGTAGAGGATTTCCATTGCTCGAATGATGCTCACGCCGTTGAAGATGCTCGTCGTTCTTTCCCTTCTGGCCACAGCACGTACAGCATGTGCGGCATGATCTTTGGTATTCTCTACTTGCAGGCTCGTTTCCGCTGGCATCAACAGCAGACAGCCCCTAAACGTCGTCTTAGGACAAGACAGGGGCTATTTGGGGCCATTGTTGAGAAGATCTACTGGCTGGTGCAAGCCCTTGTGCCCGGTCTCCAGGCTCTGATGTTCCTCTATGCCCTTTTCGTGCCCGCAACACGTGTGCTAGAACATTTCCATCATGTTCGTGATGTATGCACCGGCATGCTTATTGGGGGGAGTATGGCGGTATTTGGGGCCTTCTTTATCATCGATATCCGCGCATAACTGACTACGTGTTAGTCTTCTTGTCTGTACAGCAGGTTTTCTGTTTCATTTTTTTTGTCCGCCATGAAACGCCAATCCAGCTGCAGCAGCATCCGCGGCAACCGTAAAGGAGAATGCGCTTATAAGGACGCACACATCGATAACAATTATATGATCTTCTATCCACCGACCTGCGATCCTTTCTAGGAGCGCCTTTTCATGTACACAGACCCGAATTTGTACATACACCGGAATGTGGTGGTTCCTACTCTTTTTTTTTTTTTCTTAAGGGGGCGAAGCCTTTTGCTTCGTCTTCGCAGCGCCTCGCACCTCTCCCCGCCCTCCTCTCCGCTGAANTAAGGGGGCGAAGCCTTTTGCTTCGTCTTCGCAGCGCCTCGCACCTCTCCCCGCCCTCCTCTCCGCTGAAGAAATAAATGTGCTGCTCGGCGGATAATATCAGAAGGGCGGGACGATGCACAGCAGCGGTAACACGCGTTGTCTGTACATTGATCCCGTGCACATACTACGTACACACTAGTCTACGTACTACGTACACCCAGTGCGAGAATTCTTGCTCATCCTCTCCTTGTTGTGGGCAGTTGAATATTGACGAATTAGCACAACAAGAGCATTCATTTATTTCATAAGAAGTATTTTTATTTTTATTTAGCGGGGCCTTGAGGCGATGTATCCAACTGGGGACCCCTCGGCTCATTGCGGTCATTTTTTTAGTCACCGCCCGCCGCCTTGGTCCGGTGTGTGAACAGCGAAATTTTTTTTCCTTCAATTTTTAGTCCATTGGACGTTTTTTGTATTGCGTGTTGTACTTTATCAGGGATTACTTGAATCTAGAGTTTAGGCNTAGTCCATTGGACGTTTTTTGTATTGCGTGTTGTACTTTATCAGGGATTACTTGAATCTAGAGTTTAGGCGTTTTTTTTTAGCTTCTTGCTAGGGCCATAGGGCTAGTTTTATTAATTACTGGCGTGTTTTTGTGCGCGCTAGTGCTGTTTAGGGTTTACTAGGGCGGCAGTAGTTCTGTGGGTGAGGTGGTAGCGATAGGATTAGGTGGAGCAGCAGGAAGAAGACGATGTTGCACAGCAACAGATGTTCACATTGAATTTGTATACATCATAGTGTACGCACATGCGTGTATATACGCATATATGTAAGCTATATGTTTGCATTATTATATACGTCTTTACCTTTATACTCACATATATATGCAACTTATACTTGTGTAGCTGTGCATATTTTCTATAGAGCAGTTACTAAGAACGTCAGTGGCACTGCCACCTACCAGGCTACATCCAAGCAATTGTGTTTTCATGACCGAGTACCTCGGTTAAGAGCCTCATTGTTAAATATATCTGGTTTACTAAATATATTAAATACATAAATATGCAAATGCTATCAACTCTATCGGCATGTAAGAACAATGCCAGAACCTAAGCGATCCATCGCCCGCATATCGCGGCATGCACGCCACCGAGTATAAAAGGATTATTCATCCTTCGTGCTGCCCCAACCAAGAGAAATTAACTGAAATAACATTAAATTGTAAAAAAGGGGATGAAATTTAGTATATGAATAAGAGATATTTCCCCCTTTTCCTTCACTTCGTTACGTGGTGTTTATTGCAAGAGGACCGCTCTGACGGCAGAAGCCGCTGCCCCAGGACGCCGGTTTNTTCGTTACGTGGTGTTTATTGCAAGAGGACCGCTCTGACGGCAGAAGCCGCTGCCCCAGGACGCCGGTTTTGTTTGGGGCTTGATGCATCTTTGTTTGTTTACCTGTTTGTTTCTTCTGTATGTTCTTCCGCGTTTCTCCTCTTCTCTTTAGCGTGCAGCTCCGGTGGTTCCTGCCTCCTCCCCTTGTTTTGCATGCACCGCAGTACTAAGCAACATCACGCAGCAGCAAGCAGCGGCGAGCAGCAGCAAGCGAGCAGCATCACGCAGCAGCGATAAGCAGCAAGCAGCAGCTCAACATCCCGGGCTGTCTGACCCTCTGGTTCAGCTGCAGCGGCAAATGGATGCCTCAGAGTCGGTGTGTACGCGGGCCTCTGCAGATGTAGAGAGCGGCAGCGCACGGGGGGGGCGGGGCCCCCAACTAGGGGCATGCGGGGGCCCCCCTTCTGTTGCTGTTGCTACTGCAGCCGCGCTGTCTACTGTCTGCTCCTCCTCTTCCTCCTCTTCTTCTTCTTCATCACAGCAACACCGCGCGAAGCCTCCTTATCTAGCGCGCGTGTGTGTGCATGCATCGAGTGCTGCAGCACTAACAATCTGGGCCCTTGTGCTGCTAATTAAACTGCCAGTGGAGCGGGGGACCTTCTGCAGCGACAAGTCGATAGCACTGCCATACATGTCTGGCTCTGTCTCCTCCCCTAGCCTCTTCGTCATTTGCCTTGTCTTCCCGGCTCTGATAATGATTTTAGTTGAACTGTTGCTTGCTGCAGTGCGCGCTACACAGGAGACAGAGAAGAAAGGGCGGGAGCAGCGGGTGGTTATACTGATGGACAGAAGAGTGCCTGAGATAATGCAGCAGCTCTACATGTACGTTGGGGGCCTCGCGTTGTCAGTTGCCTCTGTCTTTCTTCTAACGAATGCGCTGAAGGCAGCGGTGGGGTCTCTGAGGCCCCACTTCTTGTCTGTATGCAAGCCAGACTGGAGCCGCGTGCAGTGTACAGACAGCAGCGGCCGCCGTGAGGTGTACGTACAGGACTTCTTCTGCACAGGCAACGCGACAGCTGTAGAGGAGGGGAGGCGTTCCTTCCCCTCGGGACACAGCAGCTGCAGCAGCTGCGGCCTCCTCTTTGTTGCATTATACCTGCAGTGTAGGTTCGTCTGGCAGCAGCAGGCGACTGCTCCAAAGCATCACCTAAGACAGCAGCAGACCCGCTGGGGTTTAGCTGTGGAACAACTCTACTGGGTCGCTCATGCAGCAGCTCCTCTCTTGCAGTTCGTGTTGCTGCTCATTGCGCTGTACGTACCCGCAACGAGAGTAGCAGAGCATTTCCACCGCCCCATTGATGTCTTAGCGGGGATGACAATCGGCGTCATCGGCGCCCTCTATGGATTCTTCTTCCTTGTTAATCCTAGCAGACGCTCGCTGCAGTGACGTAAAAGAGAGCATGAAAGCAGCAGCAGNTCTTCTTCCTTGTTAATCCTAGCAGACGCTCGCTGCAGTGACGTAAAAGAGAGCATGAAAGCAGCAGCAGCAAGATCAGCAAGTGCTGCTGCAGGGGCAGCAGCTACGACAGCTGCAGCTGCTGTCGTTGCAGCTGCCGCTGCAGCAGTTCTGATTCATCACTTGTGGAGGCC